ATATAGTCATAATTTACATGACAATACAATATAGTAATCAAAGATAAAGTTGTCGAAATTGAAAAACATTTTCACATAAATTCGAGAAAGTATCTCAGGATTCTCAGAATATCTAAATTATCATAAAATTTTGAAAACTTTTTTGAAATTATATTTTTGTAAAATAGCAATCCATCAGTCCAGCAGTTGTTAATTTGCCAGGCGCGTGAAATTGTACGAAAGTTTTTGTGCAGAACTGTTCGAAACTGAGGAAATCGATAAAAAATAAATATTTTTTCCAATGAAATACACTTTTGAATAGTTATTAAAAACAATTACCAATTTTGGAGGAAAAAGAATTTCAATGTTATCTTGCTAGTGAAATTTCTTCATCTTGAGAAAATCATTGTATGGGTAGCCGTTGCAGTCAAAAGAATCTGTCCAAATTCTTTGAATCGATCGTTATCAGAAAAAGTTACCAACAGCCGTTAGAGATAAAATTTTTTCCGGAGAAAAAAGTTTAGGTCTAAGCTATTCTATTTGATGAATAAACTGCTGTATAAAAAAATTTTAGGATGTTATTTTCCAAGTTTAGAGAAAACTGAGTAATTGATTTAGGATATCCTAAATTTTCTCAAAGGGTATATAAAAACTCTACATTTGAATCTATGGAATTTCTTTCTGAAGGATACTTTGAAGATTGCTAGTCCTATAACCCAAAACGAATTGATCAATGCTGCATAAAAGTGAATAACTTTTCAAAAGAAAATATTACAGTCAGAATGTTTTAGTTAGTTTAGATAATTCCCTAAAGCAATTTAAGTCTGTTTCAAAATTCTGATAATACATATTTTAAAAATGTATTATGATTCTTGTATACATTATGATTAGTGATATTTAGCACTTTTTATAAATATTTATTAAGTAATAAAAATATTTTCGATTATCTTCAATCTATAATAAAATTATCAAATATCATTTTTTATTTAAAAAAAAATTATTTTTCCATATGATATCTTGTATAAATAATGATAGAATAATTGAAAGAATGACACATAAGTGATACACGTGCGAGTACACAAATACGAATAATCGAAATAAGAAATGAGAGGAGGAAGATGTCTATTGATTAGCTTGACGCCCATCAGCTTGACGCTACTTATCATTCCGGGACGCGTTTCCGGTGGAAATACGTGTCGGAAATGGCACCCTACGACGCAATCGCGAATATATTCGAATGATTAGCAAAGTGTTCAATCGCCTTGTATGTAGATATTAGGGCATAACTCGGAATATCAAATAATAATTATATACTTTCTCGCTTTTATAAATATTTTTTAAAATAGATATTAAATACATTTTCATATTGATATTTATGAGTGATCAGCATCATTGCATTTAAATTAATTGTTGTGCTTGATATATCATGCTACATATACGAATGTTTAGTCTATGTTTAATAATTTGAATAATTATAAAAAAATGATACAATTTATAATTATTGATATCAATTATCAATTATATTACAACACGCAATGTGTGTGTAAGGAGAATAATGTTTGAAAGAAGAATATAAATTTTTATTTCAATAAAAATGATACTCCTCTATATTTCTTGTCATTTATAAAAAAAATTGCTAATATTCGCATTAACGCGCGTATTAATTCAATAATGTATTCATTTAATACCTAATATAGTATTCACCTATTATAGTATAGTATAGTATTTCATAATGTTTATAATGTCGATTATTTTTTTTTACAGTTACTTTATAAATGGTTATTATCATGAAAGTAGCTTTTTTTGACAGTTCGTATATCTGTCAAACATGCTGCACGTATCTTATCGTGAATAAGAAGATTACAAGTTATGTAGAAATATTTTACGTCGTCTTTTCTTTGAAGTATTTTGACCGATTAAATTGAATAAATATTGAAGATGTATAATAAATATTGATGTAATTTTTTTCATGTCTCGCGACAATTGCTTATGACACGAAGTATACATACATATGTACATAGCTGCGACACAAGTTGAAAGAATTAATCTGAATTTTATATTTAATTGAAAAATGTATGATGCTAAAAAATTAATAATGCGCGCGCGCGTGGATTAAAAAGATGGCACGGATGCTATCCTAAAAGAAAGATAAACACATCTTCTACTCAAATATCAGAAATATCATATATGTCATTACATACGCTCGCGTGTGTGTGTTTTTGTACATGCGTGTATGTAAAACGGTGTACATGGAATGAAAAATGTGATGTGCCAACGCGATGTTCCGCTCATAACGTTTCCTCAGATCTTTCTTCCACCTTTTGTACCCCTCGTCCTTTGCTACCATTCCCCCCCATTCTCTCCGTATATCGCGCTTTCCACCCGCCGCTTTCACGTGTACGTCGAAGTCACGAATGTTGCGTGCATTCGTATTCCAGCTGTCCGGTCATTGAATTTATGGCCACTGTCCACTTCTCTCGTTTCCTGGAACCACAAAGGTTCGCAAGCGAATTAGACGTGTTCGTGGGTGACAAAAATATTTTTCCTTCCACGCACGGGGCTGCGTGTCCGATGGGTGCATAATGCATGAGGACAAGAAGGGGGGGGGGAAGAGGTGGAATTTGATAATCGGCAAGTCTTGCGATCGGAATTATGCGGGCCGAGCAAAGAGGAAAACAGATGGCATCGTCCGATTATTATGCAGATTTCGAGGTCAATTCATCTTTCCAGCGATAATTTGTCAGGTGTACTCTCGTATACGTAACGATGAAATAAATACGTGTTTTAATAATAAGTTAATTATTATATGAATTATATGAATACTATTATATATGAATAATAATAATAATCAATGATATAAGTATGAGCTCAATCCTTGAATATTATTAGATATTGCATTTTTTCTATTAGAATTAATTATTTTAAAAATGTGTATTCTAAAATAACTTTCAATATAGACATAATTTATGGTATGTAGACGACACATCTTTTTCACAAATGTATCGAACTTTTAAGTTTAAAATTCGAGTCAGACAATACGTTTAATTACTTCTGTATATTTTATGTCACGAAAGAAATAATTATAATTCCTCTCATTTCACATATGGAAACTCTGTGTTATCTTCTAGTCATTTGGATATGCTGTTGTGCATCATATGATATTCTGAAATGACAGATAATTTTGGTTTCCTGATTCACTCCGCAAAGTCTCTCTTAAAGCGAAAAAAAATATCCTACTTGGTCATTAGCGGCAAAGTCTGACAGAAGTTTTCTTTTTGGATTCGCTCGGGATGATCATTAGGTAAACTTAGGTCAGGAAGAAGAAGGCTTACATCGTGGACACAAAGACCCCGAATTTGAGAATGCCGTACTTCATTTACTTTGTTGTGTAGCGGCACGTGAAACCGGCACAAAGAAGATTAACGGCTTTCCAATTCGACTTCCGCTCGGAAGTGGTATCCCGCCTATGGGAAAACCCATGATAAATTATCGATCGACCGACCAATCGATTGATCCGTGGCGTCAAGTGCTACGTGATCGTGCTCGCGGTTAGAGCATCGTGTTTGCATCCGTAAGTGAATCCATGAGTGTATTTTCGCAGGGCCACAGACCCCAAATCGCGAGTTGCGCGAGGCATTCTCGAGACGAAAACATCGTGATGGTGGCGGCAGGTGCTTCCGAGCAGCAAGAGCAGCACGAGCTCAAGGAAGAGAGCGGCTTCGCGGGCATGGGATTTAAGAGGGCGGGGAGGGAGGGAGGGATCGAGAGGCGAAGGGATGGGAAGAAGAAGCGAAGGAGACCGACGAGCGGTGGAGGAGAAGATAGAGGGAGAAATCCCGTCGGAGTCCTCGCGATGTGATCCTGTTTAACGATAATGGCTGCGAGGTAGACGCGTGCCAGCTGGGTAACGCTTTCGGGGTCTGATTTTTATGCGTCCCTCTCTTTCTCCCTTTCTCCTCTTCTTCCTTGTCGTTCGACGGAGCCGCAATCCGGCTGAGGGCAGATGGCTCGGGCCACCTTACCTTGTCGTCGCGGGGCCCCGGGGCCCTCGATTCCTCATTGGGGGAAAAAAAAAAAAGAAAGAAAGAAAGACGGTCCTCCACCTCGACTGAGGGCGCGTTGTGGGTTATACTCGCAAGGTACTCGCACGCACCTTCTCATATTCGCGGTGTCACGAGGTGGTTTCGCCGAGGCCGGTGTAAACAGCACACTCGGCGTGAGTAAAATAATGTAATACCGTTACACGCACATGGTTCGTGTCGGTAATGATTCCGAAAGCAACTTCTTTGGCACGCGCGTGCCAGCCGTTCATAATAAGAAAGTTCCGATGGCGCGTGAATCATTTCGAGTATTTTGGATGGATGTAAGCGAACTGTTATGATATTATTGCTTATTATTGACACAAGCGATAAACAAATTATCGTCAATAATTACAATTTTTTTTAAGTGCAATACGGAATACTTAATTTCTGTACTTTTTTTGATACTAATAAAAATTTCTAATAAAAATGTTTTGATACTAATAAAAACAAGATATATTACGTTACATTATGTTAAAAAAAATCTGATTATTATATCAGATTGTATATCGCAAGCTTGCTTATTTTGTGGCGTCCGTCGAATTGCGCAGGATGGCACCTGTATGCGCGCACGACGTTAAGATTTGCAAATATTTATTAATCCCACTGGAGAAGATTACAGTGTAGTTTAAACATGATAAAGTACATAACACTGTATTTAGATAATATGATTTTGTATCTCCTCATCCGCAAAATTCGCTGCACTCATAAACATTTGCACCGTGCGTAAACAATGCACTTTGCGCACAGAAGTCGTACTGTCAAAAGTGTCGTGAAGACGTTACATCGTTAATCTTATCACTGTACAGACACGATCGCGTGGAACTGGGGAAATGTAAGTCAATTCTACGTCGACGAGAACAAACGACGTTTTCGTCGCGACGCGGTTGCGAAGTTCGTGCAAATGACATTACGGAGAACTTCAATGCAATATGTGACTATGGAGAAATCAAATCCTACAAATGTACAATAGATAACGGAAATTAATTTACTTTTCAGTATAGTTCGTTTACATATATGAAGAAGGAATTCCAAGATGTCAACACCATTTATCTTTCGATTTCTCATTATGTACAGAGGTGAGTAATGACGAAACAGAGACAACAGAAAATAGAATTAGATTTTAATATTACTTTTAATATTAAAAATTAAATTAATTGTCTCAAATCAAAAAATATTTCCGTCTTGTCTTGCAACAATTCTCGGTTAACACATTAAACGATTTATTTTATAGAGAACAAGGTATATGCATTATGGACGTCACGTAGTTGTATAATGAAACGAAAGAGAGTGCGGGAGAAAAATGGTTTCCGAATACGAAGAAGTCAAACTAAACTGATAGTGATATCACGTTTTCTTTCATATAAAATGACTCATGATTGAAAATCGTCTGGTTTACTCTGTTATGTGTGAGTACATTTGTTATCGCTCATTCTTGAAAAAATCGAATGGAAGTATCACTCCAGAATTTTAGAGTGAATGTCAAGAAACTGTGGTAAAAAATTTAATTTTTCACCACAGAATGCGAAATTTTTTATGTTAATATCTTCGAAATGTATTAATCAATAATTTTGTAATACTATTTGTAGAAAAAAAGAAGTGTGTCATATATGCAAAGATCTCTTGAAATAAAAAATATTAAGGCTATGCATATTATGATGAACTATAACTTTTTGGATGTTGTGTTTAAGAATTAAATTTTATTTATCCATTATATTTTATATATCACATTTTTATAGATATTATAAATAATTATGATCATATTATTTTATTGCAGTTAACGAGTTTTGTATTATACTATGCAGGAATAAGACAGAAAGGAGAACCGATAGAGAGAGAGTTTAAATGTATTTATATTATAAAAATAAAAATGCAACAAAGGTACGGAAAGGTTACTGCATATAGCTTGATTCTAGTTATACGTTATGTCATATGCTGACACACCTTAAAACATGTCTGTCTTTGAGTTTGCTTTTTCAAGGAGCGAGATAACTCGACTCCCGACTGAGTTACTCTTTAATTGCTCTTCAGATTGCGCTCACATAAAGCGATTACGAAACGCAACTGTGGACTCTCTCGAGGAGAGCTTCATTGGAAATGTCTTATCTACCAAAGTGTTTACTGCGAGATTATTCACGCAAACAGAGCACGCGTAACTAATTTGCAATAGCGCCAGCATGACAAATCGCTACGGTCATCAGCACGTTGCACTCTTATACTGTAGTCTCTTTTATCAACAGATATTTCTGAATATTAAGCAGTGAAGTGATCTTGAAGAAAATGTCCTTCCTCTTTGAAACTTATTTTCTTTACACAATGATTCAAATCGATAATATATGTGTAATTGTTGATGCATGGTTTCACGTTTATATTTAATCTATGAAGTGATTATAAAGTCCTTATATAACTTTGAAATTTCATTTCTATAGATTTCTATAGATTTTCTATCTGTGATTATATTAATTTGAAAAAAATATTAAAATTGTAATATGTATGAAAAGCAATGTACTAATCAAAAATTTTTCACAACAGACAATTCATGTAGTACAGACATAGACTATAATATATTCCTTATATGTAAAATTTATATTGTAGAATAAAATTTGAATTTCTGCGAATGATATTTTATTTATATAAGTTTGAAACGAAATATATATACATACATATATATATATATATATATATATATATATATATATATAATAAATTTTGGACATTATGCTTCTATCGTAGATCGATGCATAAATAATTATAATAAAAATAGTATAATATTCATTATATCTAAAGTGCATCGCATTTCGCTTCCACCTCACTTGATGCGCTTTACTCAACTCCCTTCATTTGCCTCTCAATCCCGATCAATACCTCTTCGCTTGAGGTAGGTAAATCGTGACCGCACGCGTGCGCTTACGCGCGTTGCGTGCATACGTGTGTACGCGCGGCAGTCCGCAGATAAAACGCGTAAAATCTAACGCACACCTACACACCGGCCTGACCTGCGTGCACACGCACGTGAGAGCGGAGGATTGATCGCAAGAGAGGCAGGTGCTGAGAGAGCGACAGCTGCGAGCGCGCGATCTTTCTTTACGAACGGGAACGAAGCGCTTCTTCGAGTCGATCCTTCTCGCTCTGGTGGCTCGCGCTTGCAGCTACATACGCCTATGCTGAAGAATAAAAAAAATGACAGGGGTTATAGGGGCCAAGTCGGAGGGAGCAAGGGGGACGCGAATCTCTCCTTTTTAGCGCGAATATTCATGGATCCGTCGAAGGACACTCCAGGGATATCGATGTCTAATCGACAACAACCGCGCTAACGCATAATTGATAGCCACGTCAATGATCTCACGCGGATGCAATTCCGTGTATCAACGATGATTATTAACGAACAGCTGCGCGCGGTTTCGTTGGCACGACGCCGACTTGTCGAGGACGAGGCGCGTGTTTCGCTTCGAAATTATTTAAAACGCTCGATTTGTGGACCACAAACTTTTATCTCTTCCAATCTGATAATTGATGTGATTACTACGAATACGTGTCAAAGATATCATATTAATGTAAATGATCTTGTCAAAGTAAAAGGCAAATCTATAAAATTAAATGATGTTATAATGTTTCACAGTCATTATCATTTTATAACTCATAAAATTTCATACAAATGCTGAATTTTTTCAATCATTTGTCATTCATCAATTTTCTACGCCTATTAATTTTTAGATGAAAAAAGTCAATCACAAGTTTGTTAAAAAAAAAATCAATGCGGAAAGAATAGTCGACTGGTGATACGAGCCATAAGTAAACCTCAAATAACTTGACACCTTCTCAATAATTATCTAATTATCCTGATAATATGTTGCGATAATATTTCACGGTATTAAATGCTATTCGCGAAGCTACCAAGAAGCGCCGATATAATCCCATTTAAACGAATACCTCACCAAACAGGATGCCGATACCCTCTTTATGCAAACAAAGACGCAACACCTGGCAGAACGTGGCATCCTCACGGATGTTTTTGCGCCGCGCAGCGCCACGCCGTTCGGCTGACCAAGTTGCAAAAGTTTAAATTGCCGACGTACACATTGTAATCTGGCTGACTTGTTAGTGCGTACTCTTTCCTCTCTTTTTCTCGGCTTACTTTCCTTTGCCCCCTTTTATCTGCTTTATTTTTGCGAGTAGTCCTCGTGCACCGCGTGACGATAAATGGAATCTCGCGCGTAACTTCTTTTTTTGACCCATAACAGTTGGCGAACACGCGAAAACCATCGAGAAAACCGCACAAAGCCTGATACAATCAACACGTGATAGGCTTGAAGTAAAAAGAAAGAAGGAGAAAGGGAAAGAGCTTGAAAAGGGAAAAGAGGGAGATGGTACCGACTTGAGCATTGCCGCGAGCAATTTTGACAAAACAAAACGGCCGGCAGGAGGGGTTGGAAAAGGAGGTCGCAGGGAGAAATGAGGAATTACTGAAATTACGGCGTTGCGCCAACGCCAACAGGAAGCAGTTACTGCTTCCCCTTTGGATAAAGCACGGGCCTTATTTCTTTTCCGCCAATTTGTTCGCAAAAAGTTTCTATGTGGTGCATAAAAATTGATTCACTGACTGAATTGGTTAACGGCAACGCATACTGCCGTATTATGTCCATTAAACTTAAGAAGTCACTTGTTCTTCCAAGTTCTAAATAAATTTTGATCAATGCTGAAAATACGTAAGAAAAATTAATAAAATAATATTAATCTCTATAAAATTATTTGCGTTAAATTGTTAATTGTTTTTCTATTATATTAATGATCATATCTTGCTATTATTATAAATTATATATGTATATATACATATATATTATTATATAAGTTGCATTAATTTTATTTTTGTTAATGTTATTGATATATCATTATACGTTTTATATAAATAATTTCAAGTTATAAAATATAATTATTTTATATATGTAAATAGCGTCTCATTATATCATTAATTATTTTTAGTTAGTTCTCCATGTAATTTATTGTCAGTGTATTTTTATTAACTTATTGTATGATTCCTGCAGATATTATATTCTGTGCAGAATTTAAAGTATGCCTTAAAACTCCAGAAATACAAAAATGTGAACATAGTTCAAATTCTCACTTATCAGAAATCTTATATCGCAAGCAAAAGTTTCCTAGTTTTTCTAACTTGAAAAATATCTATAAATTGTGGCGGTAATTAAATTGTGGTTGCAATTCTAGCGAGTCTACCGTGAAAAATGTTCTAAGTAAATCTATGAAGAAACGTAGTAGATTGAATGCGGTGAATTGTCACTGTCTCTTTGTCATTTTTTTCTCGTTTATTCTTCCGGATAATGTAATTCCTGTGATTTCACTCTTATGTTTATCTAACGATCTGGACCGTTTCTTCGTTTCGGATCCGCTTCACCTGCGACTTTTCGTCGGGCTTTATCTGGATCCTTCCGGCTTTGATGCTTTGATGTTTTGCGGTTACCCCCCATCTCTCGACACCAGCTCTCCACTGGAAAAGCCAAGGAGTAATCGAATCGATTATCGTAGAATCGCTCGAGTCTCGACCAGCTGCATGTGACGATGCAGGTGCGCCTGCGTTTGACGATTAATTCGATTCTTATAAGATATAAGTACAAGATATGTTTTCGTATCGCATGACATTCTTGAGGGACAATTAGAAAGATTTACTCTCCGATGAAAGTGGGGACAAGTTGGAAAAAGCAGATTGCCTATTAACGTTTGAAATTTACTTGTGATATTTGAGCTTGATAAAGAATATCGGATTTTTATTCAAATGATATGTAAATACAATTTCCTAATAATTATATAGCATAATCATTTTTTATTTTATTATGCGTGCTTGTTACTTATATACGATATAAAAATCTAAAATAAATGAGATTTTTAGTCATTGAACAGAATTTTATGCATAATATTTTTTTCGTTTTTTTTGTAATATTATTACTATAGAAACTTAATTTTCGCGTGAAATTCTCATATATATAAAACGTTCTGATACTTGATAAAATATGATGTGTTATAATAGAGAGATGAGCGAAGTTTGATGAAAACATTCACACGCATATGCATCTGTGTATATCTAAATATCTAATATTTGTTCACACCCACTCAGCACAGATGATTATTATAAGCTCAAAAAATTCCTTTCCGGTAATTCGAAAAGAATTTTATAGAAGTATAAATTTTGACTTATGTGAAATTAACTCGATTGTTCTAAAACAAGTCCTTTTTCTCTTCATAATGAATTCGAAAAAAATCGATAAATCGCGAATAGTAGATGGTAGCTGTCGATGACAAATGGACGCGGTTAAATTCCATTTCTCGTAATTAAAAATTATCCAGGATAGAATAAAAGGCATTACATTATGAAATTTTTAAATCATGTTCTAGTGAAGTAATGATGAAGTGATGCTCTGAAATATTTTGATGATATCTTGAAGGTAAACTCATTAAAATTATTTTGTGAGACAAAATTAAAAATATTTTGACAGTACAATTTCGTTTAGTTTTTGTGTAATAATTAATTTAGAGACCTAATGTTTCTGAGAGACATATTTGTTAAATATACTATCTAAAATTAAATATACTATCTAAAATCTATTTTGATTTCATTGTGAATTTTTATAGATTATAATAAAATTCCCTTTTGCGAAAAAGAGAATTGGTGACATAAAAGTGAAATCATATGGAACTCTTATGAATATTTTTAATTCAGAAACGGGATGAAAGAAAAATACATTTCACAATTTGGGGATTTAAATTATTAACGAATTATTTTTTGAATTCTCTATGCTATTATATATGAATAAATTTTTGTATAATTTTTGTATCATTAGGTATCTAAATCTAATTCTAAAAACTGAACATTTTTTATTCGTATAATCTACTAGTTTAGCAATATTAGTTTTATAAGTACAGATAGCAAAATTTATATAAAGCAACTATTGACATGACTTCACAGTTCTGAATATTATATTAAAGTAGCAAATGGTGAAAAAAATTTAAATTAAGAAAATTTTTCTTATTT